TTGACCACATGACCTGACCCTACCATGCAGTTCCTCAGAGCCAGGTCACTAAAAATGAACACAAAAACTAAATCATTTCACGTTTTCAGTAAAACTCATAAAACTGTGAACACTTTCACTTGAGTTTGACAGGTCAACGGTGTCCTGAAAACGCGCGCAAACTTCTCGCCCTCAAAAAATTACCGTCTCTGCTAACGGTTAAGTTTAGTGACGGCTAATTGGTGTAATCCACGAAACACAACAACATTCCATAATAGCTTTCAAGTGTTCACACTTTTCTGAGCTTCACGGAAACACTCACATCCAGATTAGTAATGAAACGCCCTCATTTGCGAGGCAGGTTCACACGCTTTGCTGATTCCCAACTCAAAACAAATGTAGGAGAAGAAAAAAAAACACTGAAGAAGATGGTCTATTGCAAGGAATAACATCCACCAGCATACCGATGAACAAACTTCATTTCTGCGAGGTAATTCAGTCCACTGGTAATGTCTAACGCCATTGCAGTTAACCTTTTAGGAGTAACATCTTCAGCCTGGAAGAAAATTAACGTCCATGAATAACTACAGTAACTTCTACAGCAAGGTTCGAAAACTTTACAAGAACGCGAGAGAACAACTTATAATGAATGGGCTATACTGAAGACAATAAAAATGGATTGTAATCGGTACACTTCAAATCTTTCTTTCCATTTTAAACAGACCATAAGCAGTCCCATCTTAGTGAAAAGAATCAATGTTACCACGCCACGCAGAACTCTGGAAGTGAGGCGCAAGAAAAGTTCCCAGCAGCCTCACTCCAAGTTTCGCGCGACTCGCTAACATAAACCTTTGTTTCACTCATATTTTTTTAATCGCACTTCGCCAAAAGGAGGGATTGCTTGTAGTCTACATTTCAAAATTTATAACTTAAAATCATTTCATGTCAATGCTAGCAAATATAACTTGTCTAGTAAGAGACGGCGCATCACCAATCTAAGAATGTTAACTTATTTATAAACAATGGTATTATATCGACTAGGCCCCTTTTTAACCTAAACAGATCAACCTAAAGACCGCCATGAACGGAACAATTGTCCGGTTTGAAATAATGCAATTTTTGTTTGATGATTTACTTTTAAGTTTCCTGTTCGCCCCTTTGAACAACAGGTATGTTCATTCTAACCTAAGTTTTAAGAGGCATGTGAACAGATTTTCACCCAAGATTACAATAAATAACTTGAAGATAACTGACAATACCTCTCTACAGTCCTGATTTGCAAATTGACGTCTGGCCAGCAGGAAGTTTTTTAGGTCACCTAAAAGGACCGAATAAAGCACAACAAATAAATAGCATAATTTTAAAGATGATTTCGCACGAAAAGCGATACGAATAGTTGCGAATTTACAATATCATTCAGCTCTTTCAAAGGAATCACCAATTGAACGATCAAACGAGAATAACACAGGAACGACTACTATCAATATCACTTACCATGAATCATCAGCTCCATTACGGCAAAAGCTGGTTCTCCTTTGGTGCAAACACCTAGCAGTTTCACAATATTCTTGTGGTCAAAGATCTTCATCGTTTCTGCCTCACTCAGAAATTCAAGCTACAAGAGAAACAAGCACACCTTAATGAACCTGTGAGTGTCTTACATTGTGCGCAATCACAGATAGCGAAGTGTAACATTAATCAGGGGACAGGGGCTTCCCGTAAAGAAATAAGTAATAATATTGGTCCGGTATTCTAAAATATTATCCCCTCAGTCAAAAAGTGTCAAAATTTTTTTGTTTTGCTGATTGTAGCTTTAAAAACAACAACAACAACAACAACAACAACAAAAAAGGAACAGAAAAACTAACAAACTATGGCCGGTCGCGACAGAGGACGATAAAAAAGTGTAGTTACAAATTTACTTTATAGAAACTTGGTACTGCCCCTATTTGAGTCCGCCATCTCATTAGAAACACAAAGTTTGAATAATTAACCTCTTAACTTTGGCTTTTCCTTGTAATTTTGGAGCAATTTTCTTAACAGCAAGTCTCTAACGTTATTGACGAAAACTTGTTTTGAATCATTCACTACTCAGCGTAACACTACTTAAGACTTAACACTCCTGTTACCTTGTCTTCGGGTAGGGAGCCAATCTTCAAAGACTTCACTGCCACAGGTAACCATTCTCCCTCTGACCTAAGCCCAATAACTTCCCCACCGCACACAGCTCCAAATGCTCCTTCACCAAGCTTACGATTTAAAACAATGCTCTCCCGAGGGATCTCCCACTCGTCAAGGTGAAGCACAGGAGACTGTTCCATCAATCCCAACTCCTCCATCCTCTGTTGTGTCTCCTTGTACTTACGATCATATCTGATGGCAGAATAGTCCATTTTACAGTTGTGTGCTTGGTTGCCAAGCCTTTGAACAGGAGTGAGGCTAAGGGTGACCATGTTATGATACAAACCTTGCTGCTTTTGAAATGCAAATTAATTTGTTATCATGCTAACTAGATTCAGGTCTCTAACACAACAAGGTCACCTTCAGCCTCACTCCAAATCAAAGGCTTGGCAACTAAGTACACAACTGTAAAATGGCCTATTTAGCACAAAGGAATTGTGTTGTAGCGTCTGTGGGAAGTATTAGGGCTAACGCTCGAAACATCAGATTTAGAATCTCCTTATGGGGACCAATTCATATTATCAACTCGGTTGATAAAATCACATTACCTTGTTACAGAATGGTTTAAAATGGGTTAAAAAAAATCGACTATGGACGTCGCCATTTTGAAAATAGCTAAGTAACTTGTTCTTATGTGAAAAACCACAACGGGCGGCTTGCTACTAGCTGCTCCAGTTGTTATGACAAAATTCATTGCCTGAATCAAAAGTTTGTCTTTCTACGTAGCTCGTGATTGTTCAAATGCCTTAAGACAGAAAAAGAACTTCTATTACATTGCGTGTACGCAACAGCCTCTCTAAACTCGTAGCAAATTATGTTCGATGTAATTGCGACATTCAGAAATTTAATTTTCGTAAAATGAGGAAAGGTATTCGCTTGCGCACAAGCTCTCAATGGCGCTGCGAAAAGAGCGGCGAAGCCTAAGAGTTAAACCCAGCGTGAAGCCTGCGAGGGATCTGACAACTTTTCGTATCAGAGTTCCGAAGACCTCGCGCATACTCGAGTCTTACAGGCTTGTTTCTCTTCTCGCTAGCGAAAACCTGCTCGCAGGCTCAAAGATGACTTTCGTAAACAATCCACATGTTTTGCAGATAAGTAAGCCAACTTGGGAAAGCCGCTCTTTCTCCCAACCACAAAAATGTTTTTTAGTCATAGGAAGGTTAAATTGATGCAGCCATCAGATTTTAGCGCAGCAACCAAGCAAGCAAAACATATAACTTCCCTTCTCGCCGCAACGGCACTTTTATGTACCCTAAATTTCCTGCACTACGTATCCTTCACAAGAAATCATTCTCCTTCTTTAGCAATAAATTGAATATCCCGGTCATTAACGATTAAAAGAATGCAGATCTCTAACTCTCAAGATCTCAAGATTTAATCAAATGTACTCTTTATTACAAGTAACGCAAATTCATGCTAACATTTGATTTTGGCTTGTCTCTTTTCAAAAACCAAAAAAAGAAAAAAAGAAAAACCTCATTCTCGATATTTACAACATCAAGTTGGATCAATCTAGAAAGCAATTCATTATCTAAAGCATGTTTTTAATCACAATTTACTCAACTTTGCTTTGATCATTCCTTAACTTGACTGTTGATCAATTTTAACTGGTTATTAATGAAAATATTACAAAACGTTTTGCCACTTTCCACTGCATTCAATTCGTTAAAAACAAAACAGCTCATGGTATTAAACATAATGTACACTATAAACGATTAGTCAACTCAGCTTCTATAGCTGTCCAAAACACGTTCTATAAAATTAATCATCAGAAGATAATTCCTTCTGCGTTATCAACTTATTTATGAGATCAACATGCTCTGGTGCAGTGTCAAGAATTAAAAACTTGTCGATTGTCTCCGAATCCAGTTCATATTCGTCCTCAGATCCATGTTCCGCTTCATCTGAGTCTGAGCAATCAGGGGTATGTGACGTATCAGGAACGAGCTGAAGCTCTTGCATCCTCATTCTTTCAGCATTTTCTGCTTCCAGATCATCAAGGATCCGTTGCGCCAAGTTCACTATAGAACTATTACTGGACTCACTGTCTGATTCGGAGTCTGAGCCATCAGGATTGTCAGAGACTGCTGGCACAAGTTGAAGCTGCTCCATGGTTAAAAGCCTTGTTGATATTGGATCACACTCAGAAGATTCTGACAACTGCTGCTCAGTTGATGATAGGTTCAGTTCATTTCCAAGTGTACTTTCAATTCCTTGAGGATTCTGGTTGTTGATTGGCATTGCAGATTCTGGTGTTGTGTCTGTCAACGAGTCAATCAATGTTGGCGGAGCTCGGACGGTAGGGATTTCATCAGTCAGTGACCTTCCAAAAGTTTCCTTCCAAAAATTGTCTACCACAGAAGCAAATGGCCCCTTATCATTTACCTTTTTCCCAGGTGCCGTGTCCGGTGGCTGACATGAATCGAGAGGGATTTGATCAGTCTCCATTGTTTCTTGTTCTGGCACAGATTCGTATTCCTCAGGCATCTCCTCATCAATACAGGTTGGCAACTTCACATCCACTTTCTGTCCAAATGCCATTGTAAATTGAGCTGGTTCGCGATTTCCTTCCATTGCGTGCTGCTGTGCAAAACATGGTATGACAGGTACGTGTATGTGATCTGTTTCCATCTCTTGGACTGTCTGCACACGATCAATTGGCTTCAAAACATTTTTCTGTTGTCCCAACGTATTCTTAAATGAAAATGACTTCAGACCTGAAAGCGCTGACTTGTGCTGAACAAAGGAGGGCGTGGTCGGAATGGCCGGAAAATCTGTTTCCATTTCCACAAGTGGCTGCACATGGAATGCCTGCATACGATCAGAAACTACACCAAATGGATTTTGCATTGCATGCTGTTGATATGCTTCCAATGTCTCCATTTGATTTTTTGTGCATTCTTGTATCAGCTGGTCTGTTTCCATTACATCCGTGTCCTCCATAAAGTCTTTTCTTGCAGGAGGCTGATGATCTTCGCTAGCAAATCCAAATTTATAGGTGTCAGCATCTTGCCCATCGATGAATTCCATCGGCTCCTCCTGATCAGTCAAGGATGAATCTACGCTTTCCACCATTTCAGTGTCGTATACTTGTTTTTCTGTGGCTTGGCTGAGCGGTTGGCATGTTTTCCCGAGCATCATCTCGTTAGCATGGGGCTCTAAGGTGCTTGATGTGTCGTCGCTAGCTTTCCTTTTCACGTCTCTCAACTCTGATGAGGAACTATCTCCGTCACCTTTCTTGGTTCGCTTTCCTATTGACATCTGTGGTTCGACATCAGTATAATCCTCAGCCAATGCCGATTTTTCTTTGCACTGGGTTATTTGGACTCCTGCGCCACTAGCTGATAACACTTGACATTCACCTACTTCTCCTTGCAATCTCTTTTTTTCATCCTCTGTTTTAACGCAAGCCGGGACTTCTTTGAATGGAACTGGTATCGCACTCGCTTCTGGTACAAACTCAGTAGAATGAAGCTCCAAGCAGGTGGGTGAGTCGCCTCGAGTTTTTCTCTTTGTGTTTATTGACTCTGCGGAGGAGCTGCCAGAGCAGACAAAAGAGTTCACAGCGTTCTTTGACATCAGCTGTCTACAATTGTCACCTCTCTTAGTCCGCTTTCCTGTAGACATTTCTGGTTCGTCGTCAGTGTCTTCCTCAGTCACTAACGACTTTGCATTGCAATGAGTAATTCTGACTCCCGTGCCACTAGCCGACAACACTTGACATTCACCTACTTCTCCTTGTAATTTCTGCCTTTCATCTTCTGTTTCAACGTTAGCATTGACTGCCTCAATGGAGAGTGGTATTCCAATCTCTTCTGTTGCAAACTCCGTGGTATGAAGCTCCACGTTGCAGGGTGAATCGCCTCTAGCCTTTCTTTTCACGTTTATCGACACTTCTGAGGAACTGGCCGAGCAGAGTAAAGTTGTCCTGGCATCCTTGGACCTCACAGACTTAAGCTGTTTATATTTGTCACCTCTCTTAGTCCTCTTTCCTTTAGACACTTGTGCGTTGACATCAATGTACTCCTCAACCAATGACGATTTTGCATTACACTGGGTAATTTGGACTCCCGTGCCACTAGCAGACAGCGCTTGACATTCACGACCCCCTCCTTGTAATCTCTGCCTATCATCTTCTTCTTTACCGTACGCCGGGACTGCTTCAGTAGAAATTGGTATCGCATTCTCTTCTGCCTTGTCTGAAATTAATTCAGTTTGTGTAGAAACGTCTTTCCGAGCGACAACATGAACGGGACAGGTACACTGTGTTACTTCCTTTCTAGTCTTCATATCTTCGGTGACACTGTCAGACAGTCGACGTTTCTGCGCAGATCCTGATAATTTTTGTTCTTGGTCTGGCGTTAAACCTTTTTGAGTAGAGAAAGATAGGGCGGTTTGTACCTCCTTTTCTTCACTTGGTGGTGTTGGTGCAACAAAACTCTCATTACCAGTTAAATGGACAGGCGAAGTAGACTGCGTTTCTTTCTTCTTTTTCAACGCACCTTTGGTGACTCTATCAGATAACATTTGACGCTTCTGCCTGCGTCTGGTCCTGGAGAGTTTTCCCGTGTGATACTTCTCTTCTTGGTCTTGTGTTTCAACTTGAGTTGGGACTTCTTGGGTTAAGCGTGATCGGGTACTTTTTACTTTCTTTTCTGTAATGGGTGGTATTGATTTAACGACACTCCTAGCGGCTGCTAATTGGGGAGGTGAAGTAGAGTGGTTTTCTTCCTTCCTTGGATTTGCATCAGTCTCACTCTTACTTTCTGGTGGGATTACTTCTTTCTTTACCTTGCTGTCGGTGAATAATTTAGAACAAGTCTTTTTGCGTCGCTGAACAGGCGGTGAGTTGTTCAAACATTCATCCTGAGTCTTAGAAACTTGCAAAGGACTGCGCACCAGTGGATCAGAGTATATGTCACTGTTTGAAGAGGCCTGGCAATTCACAACTTCATTCAAAGAAGATCTCAGCACACCACGAGAGACGTTCAACATATCAACTTGTCCTGACTTGACTGCTCCGCGAGGTTCCGAAGGCTCTTCAATTCTCAGACAGGATGTTTCAGATTGACGCTCTTCCTTCACTTGATGTAAACAGTCGACACTTACATTAAGGTTTTGGTTTTGTCTCTTACTAACATAACAGAAGGTGCGAACAATTGTACACAGTTTCTTGATCCCATAAAAAACTCCCGAAAGAGAACGGTAAGAAGCACTTACAACGAGAAAAAAAAGTTCGCGAATCAAACGCGCTAAGGAACCAAGGTTTAACAGTTTCCATTCTCGTTGTCGGCATTGATTCAAGTTCTTTCCGATCTCGCTGTTAGGTGCGCATTCATCATCATCAGTGAAGCCCGCTGGACAAGGCCTCTTCACCCTGCTTTTCACGCAGTACCCACTCACAACTCTGTGGCCATAAACGTAGATTTTCCGAGCCAGGTGTGCCAGAGCATCTCTCATACCATTTACCACGCAAATGAACGGCCAGAAAAGCATCTTACTTCTTCTCCAGAAGTCTTCAGAAACTAAACAATTCCTCTTGAAACAGTTTGAAATGTTACTTTCACCTAATGGCGCATTTTTTAAATCCACACCAGAGACTCTCTCCTCGTGAAAAAGATCGACTGGTGGTGCTGATGGTTGCATTTCAAGCCCGGCCTTGTTTCGGTCCTTGCATGAAAATACGTAGTTGTTTCCAACTCTCATTTGAGATCTTCCCTTTAAACACCAGCTTTCAGCGGGTCTTGGTTTTATTACCAGCCTTTTAAGTGTTTCTTCACTACGACAGCCTTCAACGGGTCCTGGTCTTACACATGGCCACCGCTGTCCACTTGCTGGGGAATAATTTTTGGGTTTCCATTTGACATCTCCTGAATAAAGCTCTTCGACTGGAGGTGCCTGCACTTGATTTCTGCCCTTCATCCGGTCGCTGCACCGGAATGCACTGCTATTTCCTATGTATCTCATTTCGTTTGTTATTTGAGACGTGTTCCAAGGACACCGACGTTCAAATAGTCTTTGTCTCCGTAGCGGTAACTGCAGACTAGTAACTGAATTCTCAAAATTGCCTGTTCTTACTTGATTATGATATGCGACCTTCTCTGACTGACGAAATCTTGTATCGCCATACGTCCGTCGCACATCCGCCAGCCGGTGTATTCTTGTTCCAGCTTTGTATCTCTCAGAATTTCTTGACGAGTTCCACCTTCCTTCCCTCGGCCCTTGAGTATCGTTCTTGTCTTGAGTTTCAATACGCAGCTCTCCAATAGTATGAGCTGCTGTACTCACATTGTTCCGCTCAGATGCGGGTCCTTCTTCATCAAAGTGATCACCGAATAAATCACTTAATACTTTCCACAACTTGTGAAAAAAGGAAAAAATACAGCATACCAGAAGACAAATTGGTCTTGTGAGAACATACAAAATGCAATTAAAATAACAGGAGACGATAATAAACAATTCACGAAGAAAAAACGTTCCGCGTCTCACTGTTGAATCCATCGTCTTGGACTCTCAACAAATCAAGTCTTCTTTGGGTTTGTTTATGACGAGCTTCTACATCACTTGTTTCGTCATCTTTGCGCGTGCTTTTGCGCACTACTCGGCGCGCGCCCATATACGTTCACATCAATTTCTTCCTCAAAACATTTTTTGAGAGGGAAAAAAATGCAATCGAGGCATAATGCGTTATAACCCCTTACAAACCTTTCACGATTACGAAAAGAAAAATGCATGTTCTTTTGTCTATGTTTTCGCTTGGTCGCCAAAGTACTTGGGTTCTGGGTCGTTAAGAGATAATTAAATTTGAAGCAAACTTCACGGGTAGCCAGATATGGCACGTTGAATCTCAGCCTTGTCGCTGTGCTGTTGGATTTTAAATTAAGGTAATCGTTGATGGTCTTACGATATTCCTAGATACAATCAAAGACAAGTCCCATCACAGTCTTCGCTCAAATGAAAATGGCCTTTTAAAACAATTTAGTTGAGCATGTAAAAACACTTTGGTCGACTGCTCTGTCATCAGTGAAACTTAGTCAATGGAATAAATTCACAGTTGCATTTTCGTAGAGAATAGATGTTACAAATTCATTTCTGATTATTTAATGATAATTATATTTTTGATTCTTGAATGTTATCACGTCAAGTGTTTCCTCTTTCCTTGTTATCACACTAAGTCAGCTATGTCGTTGCCTCGTTGGATATTTAACTCTTGGTCCCTACGTTATTTTCACTGCCAAGTAAGGGGGCCAAATAAATCTTAATAACAATTATTTAAACTATTTCTTATTTCTGATAAAATTTCTCCCTTCAATTTTCTCGCACCTTGAGGGAAGGCAACTACTTGCTAAAACCCGATTAAAAAAAATTATGAATCCGACTGGTTTCTTTCTCTTTCAGGCGGTAAATGTGACTATCCACATTGCGACGGAGAAGCAACCTAAAGTACGGGTTTTGAATTGATTCTTTCGAAATACTTGATGTCGACAACCACGACAACGAGCAATCATCCCTACCTTCTCTTTATGCAGATCCATATCAGACTTATACCAATGACAAGGAACAAACCGATGGCTGTGGAAAGAAAGACAAACCAAGTGTAAAAACAAACATTGCGTTTTACTTTTACTCGTTAGAGATCCGGGATTTCACTTGTTTCTCTTTGTTACGCTCTAAAGTTGGTCTAGAAATCTCGTTTGCGCCACCCTATCAGCCAATCAGCAATAATGTTTTCTTACTCAGGCTTTCCCGCGCTTTGTGTGGTTAACTGATAATTTAAATTTTACAGAGGGTGGAACCCAAGGAGAATATGTCTGTCATAACATTTACGACTGTCTGTGACAAAAAATATCACTCAAGCGAACGATAGTAAACACAAATAGTGAATGTTCAGTATATGTTCTCTCAGGCCCTTTGGTTTGAGGGACTTTTCAGTTCCACAACCAAACACAAATTAAAAAAAAAGAGAAGCGTGACAGGGTGCCCCAAAAATTAAATACTATACATCACCTGACAACCGTGCCATAAATACGAGTTCACAGTAATTGCGGAAAATAAGATACAATTTCCCCAGCTGAATGTATTTTGTATTGAAATTTCATTTTACCTATTGCGTTTATGACAGCTATGGCTCCAGTGCACGAAATACCGAGAGCGGCTCTGAAAGACTCCACTGAGCAAACTTCAGTAGAGGACGGCTCTGAAAAGAGAAATAAAGATAAGAAATGCTTGATTTTTTTCTCCATAAAACATCACAACATTGTCCTTAAAAGGATTGAAGAGGATAGGCGAACTCACAAGCTAAAGGTCGATACAACGTACATTGATTAAACACCAAATTCTTTTAACCATAATCAAGAAAATGTGCATCAACTGTGGGGAGAATTTCACTTCAGTTCTCGGCAATTACGAGTTACCAGCTGCATACACTCACTTGATCTACCGTCCGTTGGTCTTTTCCCCTCTGGCCACAGGATACTGGTCTCATTCATTTCCAGACAACGGTTGCTACTGCCACAGGCTTTGTACATGTTAGGGAGCACACGCCCGACTTTTACGACCCTGGCAGGAAACCGTTGCTCCATTTCAACTGTGGGAAGGTACCGCTCGCCATCTCTGAAAATAACACGCCCAGACGCACCACTAAAGTTGGTCTGTTGGAGGAAAGTCTTCAACAGCCTGTGAAAAAAAGCAAGTAGTGTCTTAAGTAGTAAGAATAAATTCAAACAATGGCAGGGAAGTATTCTCTTGGGAGAGTATGGTTACACTAGTCATTACTTCCTAAAGCCTTCGAATACAGAAGGTTTAAAAACACACAGGCACACACACACGAACACAATCGAGCGATTGCGCTTACTAGATATCACCAGCCTCCCACCAACGAAGTCTGGGTTTGATACCCGACAGTACCGTCGTAAGATTTACGATCACCGTCATTTTTATTTGTAACTCACACACAATGCTTCGAATTGAGAACGATTGCACATTTTGAAGTAGCCTAGAAAAAAATGTCTAGGCCGGGAATGGAAATCATTCACAAAATACTAAGCTTTAGGTGACGCAGAATTCAATGTGACTAAAATACTTTTAAATAAATTTCACCTGGTTACATTTCAGAGTAGTAAGGTCGCACTTTTCAAACCTGAGATAGTCAACGTTTTACGGATTCAATTGAACTCTTACAGAAGATGTAACTCGTGCGAGCTTAAAAAGGTGTAGGGCCTTTAATAACAAAAACAACTCTTGAGCTTCAGTTCTCCGAGAAAGGAGGGTCGGGCCGCAGATTGAAAATGGTAATAGGAACTAGTGGAGTCCAATTCGGTCTATAATCATATGAGTGACTGACAAAATCGGACGACTGCGAGGCGGGAGTCCGATTTGTTAACACGAGTATGACTACAGACAGAATTGGACGACAAAAAGTCCTGCTACCAATTAATCATAACTGTTACAATTTCCGAAAACAACAAATACATTTAGGACAAATATATCCAGTAGAGACGATTTCTAAAGTAAAAAATTCCTCGATTTTGGAAATTCCACAGTTTTTTTTTATAGGATAAGTGGTTGTTACTATTCGGTCTGTAATCATACGAGTGATTAACAAAATCGGATGACCGCGAATCATACTCGTTAATCACGAGTATGATTACAGACAGAATCGGACCACACGAAGTACTGTTACCAATTAATCAAAACTATGACAAAATTTGAGAAAGAAACTAGACATCGATTGTAAGTTTTCACAAAAAAATCAACAGTTAACTCGGCAAAATGCGAGACAACAGCGCGCGCTCATGACGCGATTTGTCCACTTAGATAGGCTTGACGTATTAACTGTCTCTTAAACTGTCCTATTTCACTGTCCAATTACAAGCATGACGCGTACACTGTCCTACTAGTGCTCAAATCGGGTTGGTGATAAACAATCACGTTCGAGAATTTTGTTATAGTTTTGATTCATGCAAAATTAAATTGTAATGGTTATGATTAACTCTGTGACAGATTAAAACTAGAATCGACTCTTTTTCACAGCTATTAAGATCTTCTTATTCCAATTCCACACAAAGGTCTTTTCTACAAACTAAACCGTAAACAATCAGTCATTCTTCTCATCGACTATTAGAAGCGTCAACTTACTGCGTTGTGTGATTTGTTCTTATTGTATCCAGTCCTGCTGGTTGAGACTTAAAAAGTTTATCAAGCGCCAGTGCATAAGCCCACACAGCATCATGAGCAAAACTTGCATATCCTGAGGGAGTGTGACTCTGAAAAAAATACATATTATATAGGAACTAGTTCAGTGGCTGGTGTGAACGTGCATTATTAGTGACATTAACATTCATTTATGACTAACGAGTAACACATACAGTTAATCTTCATGAAAAAGTGTAATAAACGTAAAGATGTAAATTGTCATAACTGACTTCTTTGAGACACAAAAAACAAGTTACGACACGGCTGTAGACACCAAAAGTGATAGATTGATGTTTTCATACAAGCAGTTACATGCTGTTACTAAGTACTGCATGCAATGCAATGCGCAGTTGCAGGGCGTGAGATTGAGAGAGTGAGAGAGTGAGAGAGTGAGAGAGCGAGAGAGCGAGAGAGTGAGAGAGTGAGAGAGTGAGAGAGTGAGAGAGTGAGAGAGTGAGAGAGTGAGAGAGTGAGAGAGTGAGAGAGTGAGAGAGTGAGAGAGTGAGAGAGTGCGAGAGTGAGAGAGTGAGAGAGTGAGAGAGTGAGTGTAAGTGACTGAATACAACTAAATATATACACTGCACAGATAACCTGATTCTTGACCCTCCTTTCATACTCTTGTCTCCACTGGTTCACAGTCCCTCCACTTAGTATTGTGTCCAAGTCCTCGCCGTAAAATGCATTGGAAAGAGAGAAATACCCTCCACTAACAAACTCCCTCATGTTGGCTGCAGAGCAAGGTATGCTGGGTATCCCTTCAGAGGTGTCACCATCCAGGTGAGAATGATTCGGATCCCACCAATCTGGTGCTAGCCATGCTGGCAGAAACCAAACATACCCTTTTTGAGGAGTCAAGCCCTAAAGGAAATCAAGTTGATTACAGGTAACATAAATATGGGTATGCTACCAAAATGTTTTAACTGATAATTTCACAGGGGATCTTTCCTCAATTAAGTCTATTCCCTTGTTACAAGCACTGGGCCCTGGTTGTCTGAAAGGTGTATAAAGCTATCCACTGGATTTTGATTTAGTTTTGTGATGCCTGATTCGTTTTATCTTAAAAATACAAATTAACACATTCCATATATATTTCAGAATATAGGAAGTAAGTTTCTGAAGAAACTGTTGCAGTGGAGTGGCATCCATGAGGGGTTATTATTGTTTCTGGTTTGGTTGATACTGTAAATTGACCATTGTAAAGAGTCTATAAAGCTAAGGTTTTGAGAATTAGCCCAACGTTGCTCTGATGAGGGAGTGATGCTCATAAACATCTCTGATATTCACAGTCACCAATCACAGTTACCCAAAAAAACTATTTTCATGCATAAGCCAAAACAATCACTCACTTGAATATATGCCTCACACACAACAGCTCTTGCCAGACCCTCAAACAAAGTTGAAATAATAATCCTGGCTGAACTTTCCTTTAAGGACCTTACATAAGTCTTTATATCTACACTGTCTTGATTTGTGATCTGTCTTGCATACACCAAGTCAATTCCTTGGCTCTCAAGATACTCATGGGTTGTTGTCACAGTGCGTGATACATAGTTTGTATCTGTTAATGAGGCATATTGCTTCCACTGAAAAAACCCAAAGATGGCAGCATAGGCAAACTTGAATTCTGCATAGCTAGGAGAGGTTCTGAAGAACAAAGGGTACTTTTCCCGATCTGCCAGTGCAACACCTTCCACACTATAACCCATAACCATTGTATTATACAATGGTGCAACTTCAGCAATGATCTCAGTTTGAACTGAACAGGCAGGGCCAATGATTCCCACAACTGATTTATTATGAGATCGTGACATAAACTCGATGAATGCATTGAGAATGAGAGATGTTTTACAGTGTGTGTCTTCTACAATGAGCTCCAAGCTGTAATTATCAAGAATTTTAAAATCATTGTTGATGCTTTCCAAAGCCATCAGGGCACCTGCAACAAAGCAAAACACTGAATAACTAGCAATCAATATAAGAGTTCATTTCATTTGGTGTCATAATACCAAAACCAAAGTAATGACAACAGCCAATCAAATCAAAGGGAAACAGCATGTGGAGCCAATGAAAACATTAAGTAAAAACAAGCAAACTGACCGAAATGCAGGAAAAGAGCTGTGACCAAGTCTGGATTATTTTGGTTTTGATTGGTCCAGAGGTTGGTAAAATTTGGATGTTTGGTTTTAGCAGACTGTACCTCCAACCAGTTTACGCTATGGTTCAATTTAATTCATAGTAAACTGAGTCTACTTTTCATGAATATTTTGGTTACATCAAAGTTCATTGGGTTTCAAAACAAAGGAATATAACAATAATATTAAACCATATATGCCATTATGTGACAACATAAAACATCAAAATTGTTTGCCCTTCAAGTATCTATGACCTCTTTGGAGTCTAAATAAATTTCTCATACCCTGCAAAATTCCAGGATTGCTCCAAACAGCATCCTCACTGTCTGATAAAGGGAACATCCCTCCAAGATAAACTGGTGTTTTATTAAAACTCCCAGATGGTAACCATTGCATCCAGGTATCCCTATTCTGCTGTAACCAATCACAAGCAATTTCCTCACTTGTTAAATTCCCCCCTCCATAGGCATGTTTCTGCAACAGGCCACTAAGTGTCTCCTTATCAAAGTACAATTTTGACAACAGGTAGTATACATCAGGGGCACTATCTTGAACTGCTCCCCAAGCAAACTTAAAAAGGTGACTTGGTGGAAAATCACAGTTGTAGTAACCTTGCTGAGATGAAAAGGCATGGATGAAAGACACATTTGCACTGAAAATAAATAAAAAATATATTTAACATAAATGAATCTTTCTTAATGAAATCAGGCCTATTGTTTGAAACATTCATCATTTTATCATAATATTAGTATGCACAAAATTTCTCACCATCCAACAGCATGAATAAAATTTGTCCCTTAACTACTGTATGTATCAAATCTACCCAAGTGCACTGCAGAAATTCAAGAATTTGAAATAGGAATAGGTTGATATCAAGCCAGAGGATGGTCATTTGAAATTCCAGTGGCAAGAGGAATAGTATAAGTCAGACATTTTCAAGGAAAGTACAAAGCAGCAAAATGGGATTTCCCAAATGAGGAAGGGTTGGGGAGGAAGGGGGGGATGGCTGTGGGGGTCTGAAGCAAAACTAAACCTTCTACAAAAGGGAAATGAATATTTTCTGAAACAATAACACAGTCAAAACCTGATTTTTATCCACACCTGCATGGCGGAAGACTTATTCTTGTCAACTGCTCTGCTGTTGGTTTTGTATTCGGTTCCCAGTTTAAGAGAAGGAATGGTTGATCACCCCTGCCATTGACAAAATATTGTAACTCTGAGGCCAGCCATACTACTGACATATTCAGACCAAGGCTGTTAATCTGCTGCTGTAGTAATGATCCATAGTGGTCTATAAACATCATTTAGAAGTAATCAGAACTTTCAGAAGAAATCTTTACTTACTTACACCACCAAAAAAACATTAAGGATCAAGTTTCAAGGGTCTGTCAACTTATACAAATTTATTGTATTTTGGTGAGTTTCTACACTAAAGGTAAAGTCTGTACTCAAGCCTGGTGGCCCACCCAGCCCTCATATCTTAATATTGTGGTTTCCTTAGCATAAAATGACTAGGAGTATCACTACTCCCACCTGGATGGGATACTAGTCCATTGCAAGGTTAAAAAAATCTCCCCCTGACAATTTTCTGGTACCCTCCCATGCTCCTGGGTGAAGAGACACATTGTGAGATTAAGCTGTCCTGCCCAAAACACAACATAATGACTTACCCATGTCTCAGACCATGGATCTCTCCACCTGGAGCCCCACATACTAACCATTAGCCACCACCATATCTCTACATTAACTTACAAACCCACCTGGAAAATCAGCCAAAAGAACACCACAATGCATTGCATTATCACCATCCCTACACTTTGTGCCATGAAGCCAGCCATGACTACAACCAGCTATATCTTCACAAGATTTCTTGTACTCTGAGATGTTAATGTAAGAATTGAGCAATGATGCATTTTGCAACAATTGTCCCACCACTGACTGTAGTTGTAAAGCTCTCCAGCTGTCTGCTATGATTCTGCTGTCATTCCATAATCCATCAACAAAAGAGGTTGGAAGATACCATCCAAATCTGTAAAATGAAAAGAGAGTCAGAGCTGTTTGACATGTCACATTGAGCTTGTTTTTTTCTCTTGGCACAAAATTTTACACACAAGTTTGATTGTATTTTTCTTGGCATTCCACTTTTGGTAATGACTTAAACATGTACTTGTACCTCCCATGTGTAGAGATGGTTCCAACTTCATTCACCAATTTTTTGTCCAACCATTTGCCGTATTGATAACCTGGAGGTACCCAGATTTCTGTATTAATCATAACATCTGGAACATCACTGGCATCACAGCTTGACACATAGAATATGAACAGAACAAGTATTAGGCTCTGGAATGACTTGTTTAAGGGAATTATTGGAAGTGGAGAAGTAAGTCTGCACTCAGCTTAGATGGCCAACAAGGCACCCAAGCTTATCTCAGTCTCTTTAGTATAAAGTGACTAGCAGTATT